TTTAAGTTCTACCAAAAAAAAAAATTATGATATTTAAGTCTTTCCATAAATATTCCATAACCTTTTTTATATGCATGTTGACTTAAAAATTCACGTCTCCATGTGTCATAAGGGATTATGAAATACGATCACAAGATAAGATTGAACTTATTAAGACAGAATCTTATTTGACATGCATGCCAATAACTTAATTAATCTAAACTTCATTACCAAACGCGAACAGACAGAACCAACGAGGGGTTGGATCAAGTGGTAAGCGGCTTATTTCAATTTAAGTAAGGTCTCGAGTTCGAGACCTTGTGTACGCAGCCTTCATTAGGAGACTCACCCACCATTTTCAGGTGCACGACGTAAGTAAGTCTGGATTAATCGAAGTAAAGCTCCGGATACCGAGCGGGAAACCAAAAAAAAAAAAAAAACCAACCGCGAACAGAGAGCTATCTGCTCCACTGCGAGGGTTTTGAATTATCAAAGTGGCAAAATAGAGCACCGTATATATTACATATTTACATAAGCTGCAGAGAAAACTTGCACACATTTGATCAGAATAAAGAATTCCAGCACGTGACGGAGGCAATCGACGGTGAGCTCAGTAAGTAATAAGCCAGCAATTTGTGTCGCCCTCACGGCTCATTTCCGCCTCTAAAGAACCACTCAGGAAATGGCACGATACTTTTGCTATCTTAATTTATACTGTATTTTATCAAGTTTTTCCAATTTCGTATGTGAATGGGACTTGTTTTTGGTCTGTAGTTTCCTATTCTGTAAGCTATCATGGCCTGTGACTGTGCCTTTCCAAAAACAGTAATTAAACAGAAACAGAAAAGGATCCAACAGAACAGAAGACAAAGTTAATATGGAAGAGATACCCACACGCATGCCCATGTTCCACGTGGGTCGCATTTCCGCACATGGTTCGCCATTTTAGATTGCCGTTCTCTTACGTTACAGGTCCAAATTTTGCCTTGCAATTATTTAGATAAAACGACTCAGACCAAAGTTGACGCTGATTTCCACCTCCTGTAGAATGTAGAATTTAGAGTGTTAGGATCTCCCCTAACTCTGAAAAATGGCATATCTCTGATATTAATTGAAATGATTTGGATTAAAACTTATTATTGAGTTAATAATTTTTCAAGTTAAAATCTATAGACCTTTAAAATTTTAAATTCACGTTGTTAATGATAGTTGGTGCTTACCCTTATATACTAAACTTACTCACATTTTCATTCCAATAATAGATTCGGGATGATACATTAAGTTTTGCCTCAAACATTAATCCAGCCTTTTGAAGTGCTTTCCACATACATATTCCAATGTGCTAGCTTTAACATGCACTAGAAATTAACCGCCACTCTTTCTTTTATGGTGAGGGGTGGGATACAATCTCACATTCAGTGAAAATTGAAGTTGAGTTAAACTCAGCTATTTTTTAAAATACTTAAAAAGAAATTTAAAAAGGAAAAAAACCTACTCCAAATGGTGCATCCACTCCAGCCAGGAGCCAGCCACAATGTTTGACCACTATACCACCTGTCTTTTGAAGGGAGAATAATAAGTAGTGGATGATTCAAATTGGCCCATTCTTTTGATTAGATTTAGACCATTAAAGGGATTGATAATAATCAAAATGTTTCGCAAAGTAAAACACATTAATAATCCATTTTTTAGGTGTTAATTTGATTCATTAATTGATGGCAGGAGAAATGAGAGTAGTGAAAGCAAGATTCACGAACCCCACAAAGGGAATTGGTGCTTCTCCAACTAACCGTTTCAATATTTGTAATGCATTCTTACATGAGAGATAATTAAACTGGCCGTACATCTTTATTATTATTATTATTATTATTGGTATTAACCTCTCAATATCCGATAGTTATATTGGGTCTCAATTAATTTAGAATTAAATCGTGTTAGATCCTATAAATGAGGAAAGTCTCCCAGTACCTATTTCTCCAATCATAAAATTCAAACTCGACACTTTATTTAAGATAAATTACATTTTTTCCACTCAACCAATAGGTCATTGGCACATCTTCCTTATTCTTCTCAAATATAAAGGAACAAAAGTCAATAACATTGAAACACCATTAACCCCAATGTTAAAGA